TCACCTACGTTTTCTAGCAGTTTCCATTGTTCGGAAGTGTCCCGTGTACATGGAGCCTAAGGGTTTCTATGCTGTATTTACCAAGCGTTTTTGCTATTTATGGTAAATACCACATACTAGCAATAGTGAATTTTTTTTATCGCATACGATATGTGGTCACCTGACCGGCATGACGCATGCGATGATCTTTAGTGAATTGTTCCCTCTGTGTGTTTACTGCCTGCATCACGCTGCACCTCCCTACATTCAAGATTGGCCCTCTGCCCCAACCCACCCCCACAGTTCCTCTTCTTGAGGCTCCTCATAGTGTATATTTTGCTTTGTTTCTGTAATTCATTCTTTCAACCTGAAAATGTGAGTTCATCTTGTGGTGGAGACAATGCTGGATTAACCTTCCTGGCGGTATTGCTGAGTGTAGCTCGGGCTAAACTTTCAGTACCAGAAGCGGTAACCCCGAGCTACACTCAGGAATACCCTGCAGCGTTGCTTCAGGATCCCTCCAGCACTTACCTTGTCCTTCGCTTCCACGCTGTCCTCCCCGCTGTGTCCCCCGCCATCTCCTCCGGCCGATGCCGGCATCCGTCTTCTGGGTTCCGTTCCATGTGAGTGTCGGTACATACGGGGACGTATGGGGACGGAACCGGTGGGAAATTTAAAATTTTTAAAAATTTTACCTTCATTCAATACACTAAAATCTGATAGTATTACATTACTGTATCAAACCATTTCACATACATTTTGTCCCGAGTGCTTTGTCCTGTGCCCTGCCTGCATGTATACTGTTCTTTCTGCCTGGAAACTGAGAAATGTCCATGGCGTACAAAAAGCGTCCCTTTAGGTCAAAAGCAGTTTTAGACCAACTAGAGAACAGCGATAGTAAATTAGAATCACTTGTAGAATTGAGTGATAATGATTCGTGGGGAAAATCGTCATCAGACACTGAAAAAGATTTTGCGACTTTGCTCAGTGATGTGCGAACTTGGCGCTATATTTCACATTTCAGTGTTTTTGGTTTGATTATATTATTGAATTAAATTTATTATTAATATATTATTATTATTTATGAGTATTTATTATATTATAATTTATGATTTTGTGTTTCAAATTTTATCATACCCGGGATGTTTACTAGACTCTTGTTCGGACAGATTTCAGTGAGTTATTCCTAAGAATTACAGGCCTACAATAAAAAAAATACATATTTCCATGCAAAAAAATGTACCGCTTTGAGTACAAAAATATGGACATAATCAGACCGCTAGGGAGGTTAATTACTGAATGTATTCAAATATTTATTTCCTTTTGTCAATTGACTTTAAGGGTTTCTATGCTGTATTTACCAAGCGTTGTTGCTATTTGTGGTAAATACCACATACTAGCAATAGTGAACTGAAGTTTTCCGTATCGCATACAATATGTGGTCACCTGACCGGCATGATGCATGTGATAACCTTTCGTGAATTGTCCCCTCTGTGTGTTTACTGCCTGCATCACGCTGCACCAGAGGCGGACTGGCAACTCATGGGGCCCCCAGGCAATAGGGGATCATGGGGCCCCTGTGTCCTTGCCCAAACTTAAAAAAGCCTATGCAAAAGGTACCAGGGGCATCTCATGAGGTCCCCTACTGACCCCGGGCCCTCGGGCAGTGCTCGAGTTTCCCAATGGTCAGTCCGCCCCTGCGCTGCACCTCCCTACATTCAAGATTGACCGTCTGCCCCAACCCACCCCGCCAATTGCTCCTCTTGAGGCTCCTCACAGTGTATATTTTGCTTTATTTCTGTCATTCATTCAACCTGAAAAATTCATCTTGTGGTGGGGACAATGCTGGATTAAAGGTGAGGAAAGCAGCCTGCCTGGGAGCCCATTATTATTATTATTATTTATTATTATTAGCCCATCTTCATTTATATGTTCAATAAAAAATACCCAAAGTTGGGTTTTAGGCTACCTATGCACTTTTGGACCTGCTCTAAAACACTGGGTAAGGGAACACTCCTATGTACGTTGGCTTGGGTCTTTCCCAACATCTCCCAGTGGAGCCTGTTTTCCTCTGAGATACATATGCCGGCAATAGGAGTCCCCCCTCTCCCCTTCGTGGGCCAGAAAATGCACATTCATTCAATGTAAAAGTGCATGTTTGTACAATGATCTCTCATAAGACGTAGATTCTCTGAAGGCCACCCTCTATTGTCAGTAAGCAGCTTATAATTCAGTGTATCTACAGTAGTGTTGATGATGAAGGCTTTTTTTTTTTTTTTTTTTTCTTCTCCTTTGAAATAGCTTCAGCAGGATGCTAATAGCAGGTTGACCTCGCTGTGACTGTATAAGCTTTCAGCAGGGGTTTCTTAAGCAGCTTCTTTGCAGGTTATTATCCCTTGCTGATAACATGACTGAAGATGCTCAACTAGATTACACCCTGGGAGATCAGTCACAGACAGAATGGGAGTGTTACTCATTGATGACTCGGCTCTTTCAACATTTCAATACCTTGGTGCCACACCTGCTCACAAACTCCTTTAGGTTCTGAGCACCTCTTGGGTAGGAGAAGAGCTCCCTACACAAGGATGGATCTCCAGCACTGAAGACACACCATCTTTTGGCACCTAAATTGACCCACTGCTACCCTGTTTCCCCGAAAATAAGACAGTGTCTTATATTAATTTTTGCTCCCAAAGATGCGCTAGGTCTTATTTTCAGGGGATGTCTTATTTTTCCATGAAACCCCTTTTGATCCTCTTGTGTCATTTTGATTGCCCCCTCTGATCCTCCTGTGTCATTTTGATTGCCCCCGCTGATCCTCCTGTGTCATTTTGATTGCCCCCTCTGATCCTCCTGTGTCATTTTGATTGCCCCCTCTGATCCTCCTGTGTCATTTTGATTGCCCCCTCTGATCCTCCTGTGTCATTTTCATTGCCCCCTCTGATCCTCCTGTGTCATTTTGATTGCCCCCTCTGATCCTCCTGTGTCATTTTGATTGTCCCCTCTGATCCTCCTGTGTCATTTTGATTGCCCCCTCTGATCCTCCTGTGTCATTTTGATTGCCCCTCTGATCCTCCTGTGTCATTTTGATTGCCCCCTCTGATCCTCCTGTGTCATTTTGATTGCCCCCTCTGATCCTCCTGTATCATTTTGATTGCCCCCTCTGATCCTCCTGTGTCATTTTGATTGCCCCTCTGATCCTCCTGTGTCATTTTAAGTGATCCCCCCCCCCCACCCCTGTGCCACTGAACACCTTCACCAGACATCCCCCCCACCCCTTTATCAGACATTTCCCCCCTGGGGCCTGCCTGGGGACTATCACTGGGCTGGCTGGGGCCTGGACCTGGGCTGGAGCAGGGTCTGCCACTGACTGAGAACCTTCAGTCATCATGAGGGCGGTGTCACCAGAGACAGACCAGCACTCACCACCTTCGCCGCGTCCCGTCCGCTCTGATCCTCCTGTTCTTCTACACGCATCTCTCTCCCGCTCACTCCGACCTCCGCTCCGCCTCCACACAGCAGTGACGTCACTGGTTGCTAGACACCAGTCGGGGCGGCCCTAGCAACCAGTTTACGGTAAATTAATTTTCATTCCGAGACAGAGCCTAGGGGGGCCTTATTTTCGGGGCGATGCCTTATATTTCATCCAGAAGGAAACCTGTAAGTAGGTCTTATTTTCGGAGGATGTCTTATTTTCGGGGAAACACGGTAGGACCCCCTTGTCTACGTAGAAAATGTTACTGTTTTACAGTACTGTATTCCATTTTTTCTCCAAATCGCAAAGCAATCAAAGATATAAAATGGTGGCTTTTGATCAACCGCAAGAAGATTGGATCGAAATTGTGATGAACCCAGTGGAACAATTGGATCATTGTATTTATTTATTTATTTCATTTTTCAATTCAACTATTACATTTTTTTATTATTATTATTTATTATTTTTTTTGTATTTAGTATTTATTAACCTCCCTAGCAGTCTGATTATTTTCATATTTCTGTGCTCAAAGCGGTACATTTTTTTGCATGGAAATATGTTGGTTTTTTTTATTGTAGGCCCAGGGGTGGACTGACAACTCATGGGGCCCCCGGGCAATAGGGGATCATGGGGCCCCTGTGTCCTTGCCCAAACTCAAAAAAGCCTATGAAAAAGGTACAAGGAGCATCTCATGGGGCCCCTTCCTGACCCGAAATGGTCAGTCCGCCCCTGTGTAGGCCTGTAATTCTTAGGAATAACTCACTGAAATCTGTCTGAACAAGAGTCTAGTAAACATCATATTTCTGTGCTCAAAGCGGTACATTTTTTTGCATGGAAATGTTACTGTTTTACAGTACTGTATTCCATTTTTTCTCCAAATCGCAAAGCAATCAAAGATATAAAATGGTGGCTTTGATCAACTGCAAGAAGATTGGATTGAAATTGTGATGAAACCAGTGGAACAATTGGATCATTGTATTTATTTATTTATTTATTTATTTATTTCATTTTTCAATTCAACTGTTACATTTTTTTATTATATTATTTATTATTATTTTTTGTATTTAGTATTTATTAACCTCCCTAGTGGTCTGATTATGTCCATATTTCTGTGCTCAAAGCGGTAAATTTTTATGCATGGAAATATGTTGTTTTTTTTATTGTAGGCCCAGGGGTGGACTGACAATTCATGGGGCCCCCAGGCAATAGGGGATCATGGGGCCCCTGTGTCCTTGCCCAAACTCAAAAAAGCCTATGAAAAAGGTACCAGGGGCATCTCGTGGGGCCCCTTCCTGACCCAAAATGGTCAGTCCGCCCCTGTGTAGGCCTGTAATTCTTAGGAATAACTCACTGAAATTTGTCCCGAAACAAGAGTCTAGTAAACATCCCGGGTATGATAAAATTTGAAACACGAAATCATAAATTATAATATAAATAATCATAAAAAATAATAATAAATTTAGTTCAATAATATAATCAAACCAAAAACACTGAAATTTGAAATATAGCGCCAAGTTCGCACATCGTTGAGCAAATTCGCAAAATCATTTTGGTGGTTCTAATTTACTATCGCTGTTTTCTAGCTGGTCTAAAACCGATTTTGACCTAAAGGGACGCTTTTTGGACGCCATGGACGTTTCTCAGTTTGCAGGCAGAAAGAACAGTAAAAATGCAGGCAGGGCACAGGACAAAGCACTCGGGACAAAATGTATGTGAAATGGGTTGATACAGGAATGTTTTACAATCAGATTTTACTGTATTTCGTGAATGTCACTTTTTACATTTTTGAATTTCCCGCCATTCCATCCCCTGTACATCCCGACGCTCGCAGGGAACGGAACCTGGAAGACAGATACCGGCATCGGCCGGAGGACATTGCCGGGGTCACTGCAGGGGGGACATCGCGGGAGCGCAGGACAAGGTAAGTGAAGAAGAGATCCCGGAGCAATGCTGCAGGCTATTCCTGAGTGTAGCTCGGGGTTACCACTTTTGGTGCTGAAACTTTACCCCGAGCTACACTCAGGAATACCTCCAGGGAGGTTAAAGTAGAACTACATTGCATCTGAGCACCACAAAGCAAAACCCCTATTTAATTCATTTTTAATATTCAAAGCAAACTGCCCCATCCATCCATGTCTCCATGCTTTATTTTGCTGAAAAATCACTTTGGAAAAACACCCCTCTTAGCATTTCTGGCCATGGCCATCTTGAATAAGGGCAGATGATTTGTGTAGCATTAACTTCCTGGAATCCATCTGCCCTTAGTTCAGGCATAAAAGCAGGAAGGCAAACTTAGCTGAGAAAACCCCTCCCCCTCCCAGAAGACTCCTGGGATGTATGACATCATTTGCCTAGGCAATAAACCAGGAAGTAACTGAAGAAACATAGAAAAAAAAAACAGTTTAAACAAGTAAGTATTATATATGTTCCTATTTATTTAGTAGTGCTAGCAGCATAAGGATTCAGCATAAGGATTCAGAACAGGGGCCGACTGACCATTCGAGCACTTGGGCACTGCCCGAGGGCCCGGGGTCAGTAGGGGGCCCCATGAGATGTCCCTGGTACTTTTCATAGGCTTTTTTGGGTGTGGTTTGAGTTTGGGTGAGGACACAAGGGCCCCATGATCCTCTATTGCCCAGGGGCCCCATGAGTTGTCAGTCCGACCCTGATTCAGAATAATCAATGTTGATTGGCAGAGTGAAGTTCCACTGTAGTCTAGGTTCACACCTATGCGTTTTTCGCAGCGTTTTGCAGAAACGCACAGTAGTCTATTTAACATGATTTCCCATGGGACACGTAGAAATCTCCACGTTTTCACCCGGTGCACTTTTTGGAAAGGGTCAAGGACTTTTTTAAACACAACACATTGCGTTTTTGGTTCAATAAACTTCAATGGAGACACTGGTGAAACGCATGTAGCGCGTTTTTGATGCATTTTAATCTGCCCAACAAGTTAAAAAAATGCATGTAAAAAATGGCAAAACGCAGCAAAAACGCATGAGCAAAAATGCAACACGCACTGCACAAATGGATCAAACTCAAACTGCATAGGTGTGAAGCTAGCCTTAGGCATTTTATCAACTTTGTGCTGGTTCACACTACTGTGGTGCCAGAACCCTCATGTGAATCAGATAAGAATTGCTGAAAATTTCTGTTCACATCTCATGCGATTCTTTGCAGTGCGATTTGAGCCAATTATTTTGTATGGCTCAAATCGCACTGCACCCACAGGAAAGATGCATGCATCTTTTTTTTCTGCACAGGAATCAGATCGCATGGGTGTGCACACCCATGTGATCTGATTCTTCCAATCGCACTGCGTTCTGTGAACCTTTTTAGGGTGTCATTAACTTAAAGTGTTACTAAACCCACAACAGTTAAATCAGTCTGTATAAGCAGTAAAGCATGCTTGTTATACTCACTGTGGAATCTAAGGGGTTAATCCTTCGCATTGTGTAAAAAGGATGTTTGATCCTGACTTCTCTGATCCTCCCCATCTTCTACTGCTGTCTGCTGATAGAACAGAGCCTTGTGGGCAAGCTGCACATGCTCAGTTTGGTGTGTATTGCTAGAGAGTTTTATTTTCTTGGGAGAGTGTATGTGATGAGCACAGAGCCAATCAGTGCTGTCCAGACAGAGGGTCAGCGGTTATGCAGTCTCATAGGACAGTCAGAGAATGAAACTCCTCTTACAGGCTTTAACCAGTGCTCTGCTGGACACTGATAGAAGTCACAAAACTCCTCCAACTGTTGACGAGAAAAGATATTTAGCAGTTTATATTTCCTAAAATAATTGCATTTCCATGTTGTGTGTATTGTGGGAGACCAGATATAGGAAATGCAGGGTCCGGGGAGACCAGATATAGGAAATGCAGGGTCCGGGGAGACCAGATATAGGAATGGGACCGGGGGAGACCAGATATAGTGAGGAAGGGTCCGGGGAGACCAGATATAGGAAATGCAGGGTCCGGGGAGACCAGATATAGGAAATGCCGGGTCCGGGGAGACCAGATATAGGAAATGCAGGGTCCGGGGAGACCAGATATAGGAAATGCAGGGTCCGGGGTTTAGTAACACTTTCACATAGACACCCGCAAAGGTTCGCATAAACAGAGTGCAATTCTGATGCGGTGCAGGAAATGCAAAGAATTTGCTTCAAATCCCGCGACACATCAGTGTGAACTGAAACTTACAGCAAAGCAGGTATTCAAAAATAAGGATACAATACTCATGTGCTGCCACAAATAAATGATAAGCTGCTGCATGCACCTAAATGTGTTCCCACATCAATAAAACTCCCCAAGAATAGTGCTGCGCTGCCCCCTAGCGACCCAAGAAAATATACTGATAATAAATAAACCCCCTCCTGAGTATCAAACCCAATGTGTAATTATTATATTATTATTATTCAGGATCAGGGGCGGACTGACCATTTGAAAACTCGGGCACTGCCCGAGGGCCCGGAGTCAGTAGGGGGCCCCATGAGATGCCCCTGGTACCTTTTTCATAGGCTTTTTTGAGTTTGGGCAAGGACATAGGGGCCCCATGGTCCCCTGTTGCCCGGGGGCCCCATGAGTTGTCAGTCCGCCCCTGTTCAGGATTTATATAGTGCCAACAGTTTGCTCAGCGCTTTACAATATAACAGGAGACAATACAGCAACAATACAGTTCAATAACAAGAGGGATAGGAGGGCCTGATCCTTGGAGCTTACAATCTAGTAATAGAATACATCTGTGTAAACAAGATCAATAGTAAATAAAAAAAAAAAAAAAACTGGCTGAGCCAATAAATCCAAATGATATGTGAAACCAATATAAAAAATAAACCAAAATCTTTTAGCAATAATAAACACCCGGCTGAGCTGAAGAATAAAATGTAAAAAAACTGTGTGAAACACAGAAATAAAACACATAACTGCCATTGTGATGACGTTTTTATTTCTGACATACGTTTCACTGTTTTTGTTGTTTTTTACACTTTGTTCTTCAGCTCAGCCAGGTGTTTATTACTGCTACTTGATTTTGGTTTATTTATGATATAGGTTTCACATATCATTTGGATTTAGTGGCTCAGCCAGCTTTTGTTTTTTTTATTTATTATTAACCTTGTTTCACAGATGTATTCTATTACTCATTGGGTTTGATGCTCAGGAGGGGGTTTATTTATTATTAGTGTATTTTCTTGGGTCACTAGGGGGCAGCGCAGCACTATTCTTAGGGAAAAAACAGGTATACAAAAAAAGGGAATAAAAAAACAGTAGGAAACAAATATTAGGTAGCCAAGCCAACTAATAACCATGAAATGCGGTCTAGTATCAATTATTAAAATGCACAATTTGTAGCACATATCTAAGAAACATATCACTAACAGGATTTTGCAGAAAAAAATAAAAAAACATACATATTCACCTCAATGAATCATCATCAAACAGTAAACAGTTCATGCAAATAGTGTCAGTAAGTCCAACACCCAGAAGGAACCTTCATGCATGAACTATCTATTTGATGATTCATTGAGGTGAGTATGTATGTTTTTTGGGTTTTTTTTTTTTTTTTGAAGCTCAATATTCAACGCACTGGAACTGCAAGCACTGATGTGAACAATGATATTGACAACCATAGAACCTACTTTGCAGAAAAAAAGCACACTGAAACGCATGTAGTGTGAACTGGCCCTAAAAGTAAACAATCAGCATTTTTGCTACAATAGAGTTTAATGGAGAAGCTGCTGAAATGCTTGGTAGTTTTTGCCACGTTTTTGTCATTTTTATTCTGCCCAGCAACAATAAAAATTACACTTTAACCTCCCTAGCGGTCTGATTATGTCCATATTTCTGTGCTCAAAGTGGTATATTTTTTTGCATGGAAATATGTCATTTTTTTATTGTAGGCCTGTAATTTTTAGGAATAACTCACTGAAATCTGTCTGAACAAGAGTCTAGTAAACATCCCGGGTATGTTAAAATTTGAAACACGAAATCATAAATTATAATTTAATAAATAATCATAAAAAATAATAATATATATAATAAATTTAATTCAATAATATAATCAAACCAAAAACACTGAAATTTGAAATAGAGCGCAAAGTTCACACATCACTGAGCAAAGTCGCAAAATCGTTTTCAGTGTCTGATGAGGAATTTCCCCACGAATCATTATCACTCAATTCTGCAAGTGGTTCTGATTTACTATTGTTGTTCTCTAGCTAGTCTAAACCCGCTTTTGACCTAAAGGGACGCTTTTTGGACGCCATGGATGTTTCTCAGTTTCCAGGCAGAAAGAACAGTAAAAATGCAGGCAGGGCACAGGACAAAGCACTCGGGACAAAATGTATGTGAAATGGTTTGATACAGGAATGTTATACTATGTGATTTTAGTGAATTTAGTGAATGTCACCGTTTACATTTTTGAATTTCCCGCCGGTTCCATCCTCCGTACGTCCCGACGTCGCAGGGACCGGAACCCAGAAGACTGATGGCGGAGGAGATGGCCGGGAACACTGCAGGGGGAACATCGCGTGAGCGAAGGACAAGGTAAGTGCTGTAGGGAATCCCTGCATGTGAAATGGTTTGATACAGTAATGTTTTATTATGTGATTTTAGTGTATTTAGTGAATGTCACTTTTTAAAATTTTTACATTTCCCTCCGGTTTCAGCCCCCGTATGTCCCATATGTCCTGACGCTCGCAAGGAACGGAACCCAGAAGACGGATGCTGGTATTGGCCGGAGGACATTGCGGTTGACGCTGCAGGGGGGACATCGCAGGTGCGCAGGACAAGGTAAGTGAAACAGGGAATCCCAGAGCAACACTGCAAGGTAATCCTGAGTATAGCTCGGGGTTACCGCTTTTGGCACTGATAATTAACCCCAAGCTACACTCAGGAATACCGTCAGGGGGGT